GATGGCAGCATCAAAAAGAAAGTCTGAATTTTCCACGGAAGCCGGCTCGAAATATTTGATCTTAGGTGCATTTTCCTCTGGAATCTTACTGTTTGGGTACGACCGGACAACTACCGATATCTAAAAATCTCCTTTCTTAGCTTAGAATGTTGTTGTTAAATATATATCGTAAACTATCGGATCGGGTATTACTTAGATGTGAAACTTGCAGACCTCATTGGTGATCTTACGGGGGGAACGAAAGAAAAAAGAATATATAGACTTGTAGAGACCCTCTATGTAGTTGTCTATCTGAGGCGATCGATCTACATATTTCCTCATAGCCCTGGGGCTGTGTCTCGATCTCCTACGTGCGAAATCTGAGGGACTAGTTCCTATGGAGATTCCCCTTGGTCTAATTCCACGCCTTATGACGAAAGGAGAGTCGGCGTGGCGTAAAGTGAAGATTGAGGGAAATAGAGAAAAATTCCCTTCTGGGGTATTCCGAAGGTGTAATCTAGGCAACGAAAGAAAAAGGGGCCCGATACTTCAACTAGAGGAGCGACCAGTTGGTTCACCAAACCCCGACCCAGCGTCACACGTTCTCCAGGTCCGAAGGGATCCAGTGCCCAACTACCGACTCCTTCCGGAATTGCGTTATCGGAGCCGAGCCAGGAATGGCCGGCCGTTAGTGGACACCCACCACTTTTCACCGGTTAGAGAGGCCCTCTTTAATACATTAAGAAAAGATGTTCACAGGGGCCAGAAAGACTCGGTCATAGGAACTTAGACCGCCTACGCGCTGGTAAACGAAAACCACCTCGACCGGATCAGAGTAAACAACAATGTCGAATCAGGCCGCCCCTTGCCTTGAAAGAATTCACAGGCGGCCACCAGCTTTCCCAAAATCCATAAGGGGAGATCTGCTGCTTACTGCTCACGGAAACTTCCGACCTATTATACTATAGTAAAGTCGTCCGCGTATCTTTCTGATCTCTCTGCCTTCTATCAGATTTTTGGCTTTGACCAATTCAAGGTGAAAAAAAAGTGGGGTTGGCTAAAAAAGGGGAAGAGAGGATAGCTTTGGGGTACGCTCACTTCTGCATTTTTGTTTAGGTTATCGAGATTATCAATCGCTCTTTTTAGTGGGGAGGAATAGTGCGTGAATGGCGGTTCTCAGACGAGGGAATCGTTCCTCTCTAAAAAAAAAGAGAGGCTGCTTCTATCGATAGAGCTTTCACGTCTGCGTATAGAATCGTTTTTTTGCCTTTCCATTCCGTTCTTACTATATCATGGGCAGTTGGGTTGGAGTGTGATGGTTCGAGAGTGGTTTCAAATATTCTTCGCATCCATGGCCTTGTGTTAGAAATGTCCCGCGGGACTGAGTTAGTGGTCGAGTCGTTTTTGGTAATTGACACCCGTCGCATAAGTTTCAATTCATATGTTACCATTCATAGTGAAGTAGCCCTCTTTTTGATGTCTTAGTGCCTTATTCTATCTATCAAAGTCCTTCTTTGTCTATAGCTCGGGCTCCTATCAAGCTTCCCCCCATGGTCTGCTTTTGATTTTCTCGAACAGTGCCGGCCCGCATCAGGGACTCTCGTGCGAGCCATACAACGTTCCCAGGCAGGAACTGCTCCTTTCCTTGAGCTCCCTATTTAGTTCCTCCCATCCCAGGCGTTGATCTCGCAACGGCCCTCCAGCATGTCCTCATATCGCGTCCGTCACCACTGCTGCGCATCCCCATATAGATACATTGTTGCCATTGTGACTTGGTCGTCAAAAGGGGCACAAACAGAAAGTACTATTCCATATCCCAAAAGTCTTCGATCCTTAGCATCTCGGGTGCCAACGAATGCCTTTGGTTTCGCTTGATTCGAACCATCTCCGTCGAGCCACTGCTTACGGCCTTCTGTAGTATGGGGACCTCGCCCCTATTCTCTAAAGCTTGCCACCCCGTGGAAGGTCACACAAGAAGGCTATTCGACCGACTAAACTTAGGAATTAGTGCGTGCTGAAAAATGGACTTTTCTTTCTAAGTGAAGGGCAGGAGAAAGAATCTTGCATCTATCTCGAGTTGCTCCCTTGAGCGATCTATCCCTGGTTTTGTGACGTCGAGTTTGCTCTATTCTCTTAGCTCGGGCTCCTATCAAGCTTCGCTTCGCGCATGATAGCGGCATTCTTTTTTTGTTTTGGGGAAGGAAGTCGCTCGCTAGTGCACCTCACCCAAGGTTCACGTCGCTAGGTCAATTCATGCTTCGACGCACTCCCGCCTCGTGTTTTCGACCATACTTCGAGAATGACACGGTTCGGAGGAACTCTAACTCATTTGGGTGAAAACTCCTTCTTCCAATCCCGTAGAGAGGCCCGGAAGAATGGATTGAGAATAACAAGACGATTGACCAATTGAATCATCTTAAATTAAATAAAGACATCATGCCCTAGACGCGAAGGTGAGTAAGAGAGCCAGGTGAATTCTGCGAAGATGAGCGGACTTCTGAGGAGACTGGAAGCCTATAAATAATAGGAATGGCGAACTGGAACCTCATCCTTCAAAGGTTTGGTGTATATGTGTCCTATTCGTAACGACCCCGACCTTGCGTCAGGGAAAGTGGGAAAAAGCCTAAGACTCTACGGGCTAGCCGGGCCTAAAGGAGCTTATCAAATTCCACCTATGTAGTGACTCGCATTCAACAACTAAGAGTCTTCCTTCTTCCTTCTTTGGAATGAAATTCTTCTGAATTTCCCACCCTAGCCGCCCTTCCTTAACAAGATGGCTCGGAGCAAGCAAAGTCTTACGTTATTTATCTACTTTTTTTTTAGCGCAGAAGGGGAGTAAGCACACAATGAAATAGGTGGAGAGTCACATTTCTTAATAATGCCCAAAAGCCCGTTTAGCCCTTCGGACTAAGGCGTGACCATAGGATCTCACAGTGTCGGAATGAGTTGAAGACGAGATGTGGTGTCCAGTCGGATAGGGCGAGGCGAGAAGGGGAACAAGGATCAAAACAGGCATGGTGCTTAGGGCGGCCTCTTTCATTTCCTGACGTTGGGTTCATTCGCGAACGAGACAAGTTTAGCTAGGAGCCTCCTTCTTGCCCAGCCCCCTTATGAGTTGCCGAAGTATAGGCCCGCGTGAGATCAAAGTCACCTGCCGTCCGTTCGCTTTGTTTTGGTCTTGACGTGCTTTGAAAAACATAGAGATATGATTTGCACTAGAACACTGACGATAGACCCACCGGGAACACATTCACTACTGGGCATTGACATCTTACTTAATGCGTTGCAATCTGGACATTGATCGATCTTTATGCTTCCCAGCAGCTATACAATCCGAATCGGCTACCAGTACCTATTAAGTTAAGTTAAGACCGCTCGAGTTCTTGAGACCGGGGAGCCCCAGTGCAGGGCCAATTTCAGTGCCGGTTGGAGACCTGGTTCGAGATGCATATCTTGAAAGAGAGCCATCACCTCGCCCAACATCCCTTCCTTTTCAATAGTCAATTCGAGAGCAAAATCCAAAAGCTTAATTAAAAAGCAGTTGATCTTGATCCAATTCCCGATGCATAGGGCGAAATCTGGTTGAAGCCCCCAAATGGGAACCTATCGAACGGGAATTTTGAGTAGTGCTGCTCGCTATAAATATCTTTTTGAGGACAGCGGACGTCAAAAATTTGTGTGAATTATGAATCTTCTTCGATGGTCTTTCTGAGAAGAAGAGCATATCCACCTTGAAGACCTTCTGGAAAGTCGCCTATGGAAAGAGCATACCCAACCAATATGAGCCTGTCCGAGACTTGCCATTCCCATGGAAGAAAGTTTCCCTGCGTATTGATTCATTACCGACTGAACGGAAAATGCTTGCTTCTATTCCCTCCCTCCGAGCGATGAACCGTGATTGTATAGCTGTACGGAATCCCTGGGGAGTGAAGGGATAGGTGAAAGAGGAGGGGGTGGAAGAACTACTGAAAGTAATCCATAAGATTCCATACCTTTCTGGCTATACGGAAGGGCGGAATGGATCATCAGAGGGTGGAAATTGACTCCAATTGGAAGACTTGCTTTTCCATAGGGATTGCATGCCCATTTTAGGGATGAATCACTTCACGGGAGAGAACACGAGGGATGAGCGACGATCGGCCTACCTAAGTTTTGACTAGTCATCATCGGTTTACCCGCTTGCTGAAACCACCCTCCATAGCCGATTGGATGGTTGGATAGCCACTCAACTCTTCACTATACTTCCTGTATCCCACTCCCCTCTCTATCTCTCTCGACCCATTCACCGGAGTTGGGCTGGAATGCCTCCATTCCCATCTCTTTATGATCTCTGGGCCTTCCCGCTATGAGATATTCCCGGCGCAGAAGCATATTCATGCAGAATACTAGAATATGAATTTCCCCTCTCCATATAGGGGTAGGAATCCCTAGAAGAGGATAGAAGGTCATTTTGTCATCAGTGGAAAAGCATGCGTGATAAGGATACTCCTCTATGCGAATGTTCTGGCTTTCAAAGGACGGGTAAGGCACGGGGAGGAGGAAGGGAGTTTCGGGAACAAAGCCCCCGGATTTGAAAGTTCAGCCCTACCCTAGTGTATAATATCTTTTCCCTATCTAAGCTATATCAACATAGCCAACTATAAAACTAATGCGCTTGTCAATTCATTCTTGGTGTAATACGTAAATGATTGGTGTCAGAATTTTTCACTGATCAGTCTCATCCGTGTAAGAATTCGGAATTCTTATTCCAACTCGTCCCGGAATGGGCGTTATGGCAAAGAACAAGAAGAAAACAAAAGGAGGAATTTGTCCAATAGTCACAAATGGTGCCTCCACAGGTTGACATCCGATCCAACCTAGTAGTAAGCGATCCGCCAAAAGCAACCAAAATATTCCTTGGTGAATAGGGCGAAAACTTGAACTACGCACGTACATACTTTTAAAAAAAGGTAAAGCCAACAGACATATAAAAACTGGTGCTATTGCGGCTACACCTCCCGATTTGTCAGGTATACTACGAAGAATGGCATGGATCGGTAGGAAATACCATTCCGGCACAATATGAGGCGGGGTGGGCATCGGATTAGCAGGTATATAATTGTCGGGATGCCCCAAAACATTAGGAGCATAAAAAATCCAAATGGAAAAAAAGATAGCAAAAGCTACCCAACCTACTAGATCCTTTACATAAAAATAAGGGTAAAAAGAAATTTGATCCATCTCTGAATGTACACCCAATGGATTATTTGATCCATATTGATGCAATGCGGCCAGATGAAGAAGACTGGCGCCTACTAAAATAAAGGGGAGTAAATGATGAAGACTAAAAAAACGATTTAAGGTGGCATTGTCCACGGAGAAACCACCCCAAAGCCAAGTCACTATGGTATCTCCTACTACAGGTATGGCGCTAGCTAAGCTTGTAATTACTGTTGCTCCCCAAAAGCTCATCTGACCCCAAGGTGGTACGTATCCTGTAAAAGCTGTCACAATCATTAATAGGAAGATTACAACTCCGAGACACCGAACAAATTCCCTAGGACTGCTATAACTCGCATGATATAGACCACGAAAAATATGAAGGTGAACCACAATGAGAAACATACTTGCCCCATTAGCATGCATATAACGGAGCAACCAGCCCCCTTCAACATCTCTCATAACGTGTTCTACGCTGTTGAAAGCTAGATCCACATGAGGTGTGTAATGCATAGCTAAAAAAACGCCAGTCACTATCTGAATGACTAAACAAATACCAGCTAACGAACCGAAGCCCCACCAATAACTAAGATTGCTCGGGGTTGGATAATCTATCAAATGTTGATTAAGTGTGGAGGATATAGGTTGTTTAAGAAGAGAGAATCGTTGGTTCCTTATAGTCATTTTTTTCTCTTTCCTATCGTGACAACTCTGGTTCCCCCACCTTTTTTTCGTTCTGGGGCCCTACTTACAAAAAAAGAATAAAGAATCCATTATTTATAGTACCTTTTCTTTCTTCCACCTCCGAAGGATGGAGGGGGTATACAGCGAAAGAAGCGAGCGTCGAAGGGGTCTGGGTTACTGAAGAGTCGTCCGACTGCCTTAGTAGTCTCAAATAGGGACCGAATCAGAGGGGTTTTTTTTTACCGCTTTCTCTTCTCTCCAGCACTCTCGGACTGATCATCTTACTGCAACAAAGCAAGCTTAGGAATGAATCTAATGGAAATTTAGGTCTCTGTCCGCTTGGAAGATTCTTCTTTCCTCTTCGGTGAAAGAGGGCAAAGGTGTGTGGGAGAAAGAATTTGGTTTCGCTGCGCCCTGAATCAATCAAAAAGCTTCTTTTTTTTTTTATTTAATTCATCCCATTTCATTTGGGCGAGAGGGAGGCTTTGAGTCACCTGGGCTACGGATTTCTCGGTTGGTTGATTCTCGAAATCACCTCTTGACAAAAAAAAGGCCCTCGGGTCCCGACCCAAAAATGAATAGGAAGCGGGGCGGGCGAGGGTCTTTCATGAAAGGGGGGAAAAGAGGGGTGGGGCCGCCTTGCGCAGCTTTAGAAAGGAGATAATTTCAGAAAGTAACTCTCTCCAACCTTTTCTATCTATCCTTAGAAGTTGGGCGAGATAAAGTCAATATGAGATTTGCGTTGGTTTAAAAAACGAAACTAAGCACTTTTTTTTCTTTATCATTCGGAAGGCTCAGTCCCACACTCTGACTTCAATGATGGGAACAACCTCCGCACTCCGGCGCTCCAATGAACAAAAGTTCTCCGCCTTACTTTATTTAGAATAGTGGTCGATCCCTCGGGAGTTACATTCGTAACTTAATGTTATGTTCACGTTCACGCGGTGATATTATATCCAAGAGTACTACCCTGTACGTAGTCTATGTCTGGGGAGCATAAGATAGACACAGGCGGTAGATAGGTCCCCCACTTCTATTCCTGCCCCGTTAGCATCTCCGATCCGAGATAAGGGATTACTCCGTTAGGTCTTTTCGGTCCGGAGCCGGCCGGTAATGGACCTACTTACCTTGCTTGTGGACCAGCTGCAGAGCTAACCCTTGTTCTATTGGTTTGGCGGTTGCTACCAAGACGATTTCTTTATGCCCATCAAAGGACCTCGAGATGCTAATCCACGAAAAACGATACGAGAAATTCGAAAGAACTCATATACGGAACGAGGGCGACCCGTGGAAATACATCGGTTTCTGACTCGTGCAAAGGAACTATTTCTTGGCAACTTGGACAACTTATAACGAAGTTTGTCCCGCATATCACTAGGAAGATCGGAATCTTTACAAAAGGCTTTATAAAGCTTTCGTCTCAATTCATATTTAGCCGCGAGCAATCTGCGTTTGTGATCTCGTATATTTCGCTTCTCCGACATCTCTTACTGAGTTTCTCCCTCATCTTTTTGCAAAAAGCCGCTCCACGGTGGTAAAGTCTCATCTTGTGTGTTGGCCGAAGTGACAATAGTCACATTGAACCCTCGAATATGTTCGAAGATCTCGAAATGATCTTCCAGTTCCGGGGAGAATTCGCAAAACTCCGTTTCCATCGAGAATTGAATGGAGTTTTCCCTGATTTCGACCGGAGAATCTAACAGAGACATTACTGTCGAGATTCTGACCGAAAAATTAGACATTCCATGCCCTCGGAGAGTGCTTTGTCGTGCTAGGTCACTGACATATCCTTTGTCTTTATTTGACCCCAAGAATGGATTGGATCGAAACGACTTTCCTGTCGAACCCCTTTGTGTCTGTATGAATTTCTGACCGCGCGGAATCTCCATAGCCAATTTTCCATTTTTGATTATGAAATCATAGGGTGCCTTTGGTACTACTCTTATTTCACACGATCCAGGAACTTCCATAACGTTGGCGTGATTCAGTTTGAGCAACGGATCCTGACGTGATACATCTTCGTAATGAAAATTGAGTGGAAACATAGTGATTGATTGAGAAAAAAAAATTCCCTCCATACAGACAGAAAGAGAGTCTTTCCTGTAGGAGTAGTGAAGAACTATAGATAGCTGTGGTTGGTTGTTGACCAACAAACAGAAAGGATGGGAAAAAGACCAAAGATATCATAGGCTCTCTTCGGAGAGCGGTATACCGAAAAAAGCCCTTCTTACTTAAAGTAAAGAAGAAAGAAGATAGGCTTAAGTCATCGTCGAATAGGGGCTTTTAAAGAGCGTGACTCTTCTTTTTGAAAAAAGGTAAGACTCTGTCTTTATATACACAATTTTCAGTCTAGTTCGCCACAAGGCATGCAAGCAAGTCCAAAACCAAAAGAGAAAAGCCACTCACGGGAAAAAGACTATCTTCCACAACTCCTGCAAGAGACGATTCGTTGATAACATCTGAAGACGATCCTGCTAAGAGGGGCCTTTCGCTCGGTCTTTAAAGCCTGGCTTTGCTTTGAGCAGGAGCCTATCTCGGAATCAATGAGTCAATCAATGTCCGACTTCAGACCTGGGACTGGGGGAAGCCTGTATCGGGAAGTTCGTCTAGCTAATTAGGTAGGTCGTCAAGCCTTTGTCTTTCTGTGTACCCAACCCGCGAGCTTAGGGTGCGCATTTTCGTTGAAAGAGGAAAGAGAAAGGAATTGATTCCCCGCTCCATTGGCTTACGAAAAGGTTTTCCAAACACCATGGTAAAAGTACTAATCGTAAGACTTGGGTTTACCCATACCACTCATACGGACAAGCTTCGGATTAGGATTCTGATCGGGTTACCTTAAGGTGCTCCTTATTATATTAATAGTGACACGTGAGAGATCTTACCTTTATACCCGAAGGTATACAAAAGGAACAACTCCCATATTGTCACTAGATTATGAGCATTTCTCCCTTGCAGTAGCGACACAGTCAGCACAGGCTTTAGACGAAGTAGAAGAGAGAAAGTCCTATCTTTCGAGTTACTAAGCATCTCGATCTAGTAAAATAGCAAATTAGAAACTTGGGGGGAAATCTTCCTGAATAGCTAAAGCCAAAGAAAGACCAGTAATGACATACTCTACAACGAGTAGAAAAGAAAGAGCCTTCTCTCATTACACGGATTTAGCACTTTTCACCGACAGAACAGGCTAGGAGGTATAGCTTGGATTCGGATTATAAGATGGATAGACATAGACACTGGCCTTACTTCTGACTCTTACCCAGGCCGGGGAAAAGATGCTCTATCTTTCCCGATCGACATTGTAAGGTAAGAAAACTAGCACTTGAATCTGAAAGTGGTGAGGCATCAAAGGCAAAGGCCCAACCAACAAAGGCATTAGTATCAGATTATAGGTTTTCAGCCGGATCGAGCTGCATTCTATTCTGGTTGGGAAAGCGGCGAAAGTTCCATTCATCTTCGGTTAGCGAGAACACGGATTCAAATAACTAAATAACAAAAAGGCAATGGGGCCTAAAGCCCCCTATTTATACCACAACTCAAAAGACCAATTCATTAGCTAAACTCACCCCTATTCACTTACGAAGCAATCGGACTCGCCTCTTTTTTTTTTTTATATATAGAAAGCGTGTTCAAGGCGTCAAGTCCTTTTTCTTAAGTACGAAATCACACTTCGCGGTGCTTTGCTTACATTACACCTCTGGTCTATCAAAGTTTTGTTCATCGTCCAAGAACAAATGCCTCTTCAAAAGAGAATCTCGAAGAACTAGACAATACTTACTTAACTTACCAGCCTTACTAGGCAAGACAGAAACCAATCCTAGAACTACAAGATGATACCTTAGAAGCGACTGATCCTAACGACAAGTAAAGGCATACCCTCCTATAAAGGAGAGCGGCTTTCCCTCTATTAGAAAACAAGAATGGAAGTCACAGTGGGAAAGGAGAAAGCTCAACCGCGTGGCACAAAACAGTGGGTTTGGGTTCCTGATCTTGTCTTCCTTCAGGCTAAAGCTTCAAGTCTCAATCCGAAGTCAAAGAGAAAAGAACAGATGCGCGAGCCGCTCGATTAATATTATATATACTTTTTTTGAATAAAGGGATTGAGAACAACTGCTTTGGCGAAGATTCCATATTGAATTGAATATGAAAAAGAAGCTGCTTGACCGAACCGAATAGGGCAAGGAATGAGTGCGCTTTCGAAAGTTTCGATCTTTTTTTATTAAATATAGGTAGAGAGAAATTCGACAATCAATCAAGGAATGGTTCCAGAATCCTGGTAAAAAGTGGTCTTCTATATGCAATCATGAAGGTGCTAGTGAAATGCTCAATCACAAGCTCTAAAGGGCAAAAAAATCCACTGTGGGGGATGGGGTCCGGATGGACATCAAGACTAAAATCAGGCGATTTAACAAGATAGCCCATGCCTGACTCGGCAATTTCGCGTCCGACCGATCATCTCCTTCGTTACCTAATTCTCTAGACAGAGATCACATCACGGTAAGCCCCTATTAAGATTAAGATGGTAGTTCCATGGTTCTAAAGATGCATGAGATGTTCGCCAGCGTAGAAAGAACCCGAAACTCCTAATTCACTCAAGGGGGTTTTTTCATTGCTTTTTTGCTAACGACATCATTCTCTTCGCAGAAGCCAGATTGATAGCTTTCAACCACTTGGAGGGACTATGCAAGCAAGTGATCTATTCCTAGAATTCTAAGACGATAGGAAGGAGCTCTTTCAAAGCGAGGGGGATTCCCTGTAGGAGATAGGCTTTTTACCAGTGCTAGTACCGTTGGATTCCAAATTTCCCTCAGTACTAGGTTTTCCTCTTTCTCTTTCATTGCTTTACTAATAGCTTTACTTTTTCCCTTCCTGCAGCTTATGTGCAAAAACCAATCAACTGACTTGTCTGCTTACAAGGTTCAAAGTACAAGGATAAAAGAAAGCGGAGGCAAAAGCCACTAAATTATCTACATACGCTATCGATTGAGTAGCGAGTAGAGAATAAAGATTTAGCGAGAAAAGCAGCGCAGAAAAAAGGAGAAAGAAAAGCTCTTCAGGAAAGCCAACTCCAACTCAAAGTGTCCTTTCATTCTTTTTCACGTGCATAACCTGCCCTCTGCCGATACAAGGCACTAGCCAATGCAGCATTCTCGAAAACTTATAACAGTCTCGCTATAGCTTTATGAATGCCAGATTGATCCTAGAAGCTTTTTTTTACTTAGATTTTGGGTACACTAGATAAGCAACTCTATGTTATCCCTAGTAGGGCTTGTAAACGTCTGGGAATGGAAAAGACTTCGGTAAGGTCAACTATTCTCCCACGGTATAGAATGGAGAAGGGCTTAATGGACTGATTTTTGTTCTTTAGTTCGATTAGGACCTCCGAATCCCTTAGCTCTTAAGCCAGTGAATGTGGAGCTCAAGAAGGTGAAGGTCCTCGATATCCAAGTCTCTTATCCTTTAATCCAGAATCTAGCAGCAGAGATGGTTAATGAAAGTAGGCCCACTGATAGAGGGCTGGCCGAAGCCTCCCATGTGATTGTGATCTATGAAGGCAGACTCAAGCAATTAATTGTCCGGTCCTCAACAATGTGAAATCAGAGCCAAGCCCGCCTTAACTTTCTTATGTGAAATAGGTCTTTGATTTCCATTTTATGAAAATCCGCCCTTCTTTCTTCAGAATACGAATTGGGCATATCATTTGAAATGCATTCTTTCTTTTTGATCCTTGGCGCCCTTGCCTTGCTTGACTTCAGGAGATATAAGAAGCCCAAGCATGAATATAGAGCAAGTTCAGTGATCCTGGGGAATGAGCCTAATTCCACTTTGCTTGAAAGAGGAAGAGTGAAGAAGGGGTAACTATCTAGAAACTAGAAAGACTGAGCCTTAGCATGCAGAGAAGAAGGGCTACTAGTGAAGATGCCGAGAATGGCCGGGGATTACCGGTCTTAGTTGCAAATGCATGTGAGGGAGGGAATGATTGCAATTTAGTATTAGTAAGGGAAGGCAAGTGCCATGTCATGGATTTCTCTTTCTTTCTTTGTCGCTGGTTCCCTACTTTCATTGACATTGAGTTTATAGGCCTTCATCAGCGCTTCTATCTTCCTTTTGGCCGTTGGTTGTGGAGTTGCTTCTCTCGGTCAAATGAATGGGCGGAGAATAGCGGATCAACCGCGGGGAAGAGAGCACGGGTTGAGCCCACAGCCCTACCTCTGGAGCATAAACAAGAGTAGCATCTGTGCCTCGAGCTGGTGTAACAAGAGATAGCACTCTTTTCTTATTATTATGGAAAATTCTCTCAATCAGAGATCCTATAGAAATCTGTCCTCTCCGGCTACGCTTAGTCGAGCGTCTGTCGAACCTCGCTTCACTTGCTTCTTTCACTGGTATTTCAGCTTGATGAGCGTCCTCCCTGCCAGCGCAGCTATTTAAACTATTGTATAGTATTGTTGGGCTAGAAGGTGCTAGCCGTATCCCCTCACTCATCTCAATACTTCACTTCTGTCCTCTCTTGCTCGTAGCTACAACTATACCTTTCCCTCAGTCGAAGAGATGCCAAAGCAGCATATCGCTCAGCGGAAAGCGGTCAAAGACAGGAGGATTCATCGGTCTATCGCGAAGTAGACTCTCGTTCCAACGGGAAAGCCTTATCATACGTGCAATTCCTTTACTTGAAGTATTCGTAGGAAGAAACCAAACGTAGCAGCAAGTAAAGAAGTGGAGACGGTTTTCCAGTCGAGCTAAGCATCGGGGGAAGCAAAAGCTAGGGTAGGGAAGAGAGACTCCTTAAAGAGAGAGGTTAGGTTATGGTCGTCCTATCTAGATTAAGTGCATAGCCTTCGGGAAAGGAGATAGATTCAAGTGAGGACTCGTATTCTGAACTGAACTTTCATTCGAAACTAAATGGTATAAAAGAGGGACTTGTAAATGCTGGCTTAGGTCGGGCTTATTCCGGAGCGAGAGTGGGACTAGAATGAGGAGTTTCCCCAGGAGCAGATGCTTTTGATTGAAATCCCTTTTACAGCTCCAGTGCGCCCATATAAGTATAAGAAAGAGGAGACAACTATTGTCGATGATCCTTATGCTGTGGACCTAGAAGCTTCGGGGATCTACTCTTTTGGTCTTTTGGCCCTAGAGCGTGGAATTGAAAACTTCTTTTTATTTTCTTAAGGCAATCCCCCCTAGAACCTAGAATCAAACTGTCAAAATCAGTCCA